TATTGGGATGGGACTTGTTTATTCTACTCCTCCCTTTTTTCACTTCCCTGTTGATAACCAGTTTGAGATTGCTTATTCCCACCAGCAACAAAATCTGTTGTAGTCTTCCCTATTCCAACCAGAGTTTCACCAATTGCTTGCAGCACCCCACCGCCTCCCTGCTGCTGCTGCAACACCGGCTTGCTCTCGCTCTCTCCGCCCTCCTCTGTGTCCTCCTTTTCTCCGCTAAAAACTCCGCCTCCGCTTTCTCGCTGTACACACATTTAACACAGAATTCAGCTCAATGCATTAAAATTTAAAAAAGAAGAAGAAGAGAATAATGGTCATAAACATGAATTCACCTCAAGCGCATATGTATGTATATATATATATATATATACCCAATGTACAGTAAATTTGAGCCGAAAACAAGGAGATAATAACCCAATGTTTACCTTGGAATTACCTTCTAGTTGTCTCTCAGTTTCTGCCTTCTTTTTACCTGCATAATCAGCTGCACCTTCTTCCGCTGAGACTACGTAATCTTTAGCAGCAGCCAATTTGTCCCCTGCATACTCCACCGCGTTCTTACCAGCACCAGCAACCACGTCCTTCGCGGCGACAGCCTTCCCCCCTGCATACCCTGCAGCACTAGAAACAACATCTGCCGTGGCTTTTTGTAGCCACGGCTGCTCCTTTTGCTGTATAATGTGCAGCACCAAAAGCTCCCATTTCCGCCATATCCTTTGCGGTTTTAGCTGCTTCCCCTGCATACCCTACCGTGCTTTTCCCTGTTTCCACAGTGGCGTCTTTTGCCTCGATGCCTTTCTTCCCGACATACCCTGCTGCATTCTTGCTCTTTTCGGCAGCGGTTCTTGCTGCTTCCCCTGCATACCCTACTGCACTTTTCCTTGTTTCAACAGTAGTATATTTTGCCTCGACGCCTTTCTGCCCGATGTATCCTGCTGCATTCTTGCTCTTTTCGGAAGCATAATCTTTCGACTCCCCTGCTTTTTGCAGGGTGTAATCTTTAGCCTGTTGAGCTGATTGCATTGTTGTTTGTCCTGCACTCGATAGGGTATCTTTAGTTGCACCATAAGCTTGCTGGCCTTTTTCGAGAGCAGTGTCCTTTGCAACTCTAGCCTTGTCCACAACATACTCGAATCCAATCTGAGCGCCATGAATGACAGCATCTTTGGCTTGTGCACCTGCACTTGAAATGGTATCTTTCTACAAATTTTTCGCCTTTTTCACCTCAAAAATAGTGTTTGGTTATTCATTTGAATCAAAATTTAATACTTGATGAAAATTTAGTAACTTTTCAATATATCTATGTTCCGCGTTGACCTAGGGTTTTCTACTGGTGGCTCCTACATAGGCAGGAGCTGCGCAGCTCTCATGGCTGCTACGGCCATTGGACGGCCTCCTTTCGAGGATGTCCACCCCCCCTCCCCAAACCCCCCAACCACCACCTACGCCACCCTTTTCAACTTCAATACACTAAATCCTAAACAATTTGCCCTAATTAACTCAAAAACATTTGTAAAATCAATCGAAATAATTTATGGAGAACCTACTATCACGTTTTCAATGAAGGAAAGACAAGACTTTATGATCGAAGAGTGAATGCATCAGTCAGTGGTGTTTAAATTATCCCACGGTGCGCCAAATTTGAAGGTATTAAGGTTAATTTTATCGAAACATCTTGGTACCAAGGGCAATTGTTTAATTGACTTACTTGCTCCAAGACAAATTTTGTTATGATTTGATCAATATGAAGATTATGTACTAGCTTTATCTCGCTCAGTTAATTATCTTCTCTACAATGGAGAGGAGCACGAATATAGGGTTTTTCCATGATCCATTGGATATAATCCTAAGTAGGAAACGACGTTAGCTGTGGTTTGAATTTTTTTACCAACCTTATCTCCAGATTTGTTTGCAAAGAAGTCTCTGTTGTCTATAGCATCGGCAGTTGGGAAACAAATAGCAATAGATAAAGCTACTCAAATCAAGTCAAGACCTAGCATGGCTAGGGTCAATGTTATACTTGATCTAATGGAAAAGCTTCCAAATTGTATAAGGTTGCAGTTTGTGGATGAAAAATTTGGTAAGTTGATCGAGGTTTTTCAGAGATTGTATATGATAATCTACCTTTGTGTTGCAATTATTGTAAGCACCAAGGTCATGATGAAGATAGTTGTCGTTTGATCTCGAAAAGAAATGAAAATAACAAACAAATTGATGATACCATTGAAGTTGCTTTAAAAGATACTATCGATAGTGAAAAGTATCAAGGTGATGCAAGAGAAATACTAAATGAAAAAAGAAAGATTGTAGATGTCGATCAAAGTAAAGCTACTTCTTTAGATTGACAATTGGTTGCTACCACTTCTGAGCAAAATCATGTAGACTCAATGGATGTTGATACAAGTAATATTGGTGTTCAAACAACTACCGAAAACAAATGTGATTGCAATAACCAACATACTACTATTAATGAGGTGCAATCAAAAGAAGTTGGGTTGAATTTGATGTCTAATGCAACTAAAAACGCAAGGGGAACACCAAGAGTTGGAATTGATGCGCCGCGAGTTGGTTCAGGAAAAAATTAATGGATTCAGGACAAAAACTAATGGATACATCTGATGTTGAAGATGTTGAAAATTCTGGGCAGCATGTTTTGCAAGCTGAAAACGAGAATGCAACTAAAAACTGGACACTGGTTGCAGACAAAAAATCAACTAGTAGTCGGACCCTTTCCCCGACTAGTCAAAATAATTTTCCATTTAGTGAAAAGGGTGCTACTAGGAATTTTCATGACAGTGAGAAGAGGCAAGATATTAGTGATGCCTCAAGAGACCTATTATGTTCGAATAACTTTGATGCTTTATTGAAGACTACTGGAAAGCAAGTAAGGTTAACAGAGAATGACAACGATTTGATCCAAGAATAACAAGTCTCACCACCTGCTTTGAATAGCAAATTAAGTCCAGAAGCTCCCGTATTTGTGCCTAAATGTGTGATTGCAAAGAAGAATGAGTCAAGGGTCTTAGTGTCAAATACAATTGATTTGGGCGAGGATTCTCTTGATGAAGATGAGGAAGACAATATGCTAGACATATGCTTTGATAGAGTGGCTAGGGAAGGAGATATATCACCTAGGCAACAAAGAAGTGAAAGCAACAAAAGCAAAAAGAAAACACATGGAAGACAACATAGTTGGGACGGTAAAATGAATGAGGAGTTTGTTTCATAGCACCTACCAATGCGATAGGCAAAGCAGAACCATTTGACAGTATCAATATGTTCAACAAGATCCAATAAATCTACAAAGAAGGTATGAATTATCAAGTGTTGTTGGATAGGTTTAAAGAAGAAGACGAGAGAAAAATACTTCAAGTTACTTTTGATGGGCAATCAATTTTTTTGTAATTTATGCTTTTGTAATAGAAAGTTTGAGACTGATAACTCAACTTTCTTCTTGATTGACATATTTTTACATTATTTAAGCATCCTCATTTGTAATATCATCATAGAGTGTATTACAAACTCTGTGATGATAAAAAGATACTTAGTTCTCTCTAGCTCTTATTTTCTTCATGCTTGTTAGGTAGGTAGCAGAAGTTAGGTACTTTATTAGGATTAGTAAGGTAAGGCCTAGCCCTCCTTACTTGTACTTATCCCTATTGATATTTTTTTTATGTTTAATAAAAGGCCACTAGACACAATCTAGTGGTAAATTTGCTTTGAAAAAAAAACTGTTCCGTGTTTAAAATACTACTGACCTTTCTCAATGGCAGTGTCTTTAGCAGCTGCAGCCTTATCAGCAACATACTGAGATCCACTTCTAACACCATGACCAACAGTGTCTTTACCTTGTGCACCTAGTGCTGTTTCATTGTAACATTCAGCACCATGCCCTTGACTAGCCGATTCTTTTGCATTATGTAACGCTGACGCCCCAAAATCCTTTGCCCTTTCGTCGGGATTTTCAGTTAGCACAGCAGCTGGTGTTAGTGCGGGTTTTTTTCTCTCGGCTCTTTTCTTATTACCTTCTTCTTGAGGATGAATCCCTCCATGAACTCTTCCTTCTTCACCTTCTTTCCTATGTGATTCAATTTTGAAACCTCCTAGCCCTTCTCCTCGAATTCCTGAGATTCGAGGCAAATTCAGATTAATCTTACCGATTCAATCAAGATATTTATGAAAAAATAGTACAAGTGTTTTAGTAGTGTAGGTACCTTGATCAACATGATGAGAAGAATGTTTGTCCCTTTGTGTGTCACAATCTTTTTGTTGTTGCTGCATTCCACTAGAGAACTCCAACCCTCCAACTTTAACAGCAGGCTGATGTTCAGCAGGAGCAGTAGCAACACTTTTTATATGAATAGCAGGATGAACATCATTTTCTCTTTTTGCTTTCTCTGAAGCCATTTTTTTGTTTTGTTACTAATTACTAAATAAACTATGCTCTAAATATTTTTTCACTTCCAAGAACATATTTGAAAGAAATTATAAGCCAAACTGGATGAGGCAGATGGTACTAGTATTTTATTTTATTATTATCTTATGACACGTGGCGATTGATGAGCTTTTTGTTTGTGACGTGGCAAGAAAAACATAGCTACACTGGATGAGTCAGCTATACTGAATGCTAACGTGTCTTCATGCCCTGCAACTATGCATATATTTGTCCAATCTCTCATCATACAACAAAGCTTCGTAAGCAAGTATCAGATAATTTTATCCGTCAAAATTAAAATAAATATGAAAAAATTATCTAACAATCGCTTCATTAACTATGCCACACACGAATCATATTTATTTTTAAACATAATAAACAAGATTCACATAGTGACTTGGCTTGTTTGAGACTAACATAGTTATTATTGTATATACTTAAAAAGGAAGTTTTAAAGAAGAGATGAAACAGGCTTTCTATTCACCATAGTCCATAAACAAAAAGGTGCTTTTAACTTGCCACCATGTATTAGTAACTGGTTATATTATTGAAACAGTTTAAGGAGAAATAATTGTCTTATTATAATACACCAGGGGCTTCTGCTTTCAATTTTAGTTTTCTGTACAAAGCCATCTATTGATTGGCAAAAGCAACATTATACTTTTATAGCATCATAGCTCAGACTCCACTGGTCGGATTACATTGGGTATGTTGTTGTAATGCGTCATATCTAGAGAAGTTCCCACTCAGATTCGGAATGATCATCAGCTGATGACAACTTTTTCACGTTCGAGTTTTTGGAGAGAACCTGCATCGGCTTTTCTTCAGGCTCTAGGTTAGGCTGTTGATCTCCATGTAATGCTCCAAGCTGCTCATACTCTTTTCTCGTCGACTTCTTTTTCATAGAAAACACTTGCCTGAGCTTCTTCTGATAAAACAACTGAACTGTCAACATCTAAAGGCACACATTCTTCAATGAAACAGCCCTCCCTCATCCCCCCACGACCAAACTAATGAAAAACATATTGATGAAAAGCAAGAAATAGCAAATACAACGCGAGAGGAAGGAGAGGGAGAGGGAACCTTGTATGATTTCTGTTTGACTGATCCCTGTGGAACATGAAGTTTGTCCGCTTCAACCAGGACACATGTTTCCTCCAACTTTGATTCATCATAGCGCTCAACAATTTCCACATCGGACTCAATCAAGTCATACTTCTCGGGTGGAGGAGAACAAAATTTATCTGATCTTTCTGCAAAAGAACACGGAAAACACAACGAAAGGATTAAGAGACTTAAAAAGATCCAGTTTTAAGGAATCAGGCCGGAAATATCTGAACAGCAGGAGAATGTTGCTCAGTTGCACAAGTATTCCTTCGTTTTATTTGTTTGGAAGTTGGTACTAAGTGGAAAGAAAAGAGAAAACGTAAGGGCCCTTTTGCCTTAGGGTGGGATGACACTGATAATGTCAATGCAGGAGTCTTATCAGTGGGATGCCCTAAGGAGTCTTATCAGTGGGATGCCCTATTAAGGTGACACATATAGGATTGGTGATCGTACCTGAACCTTCTGTCTTACGAATTGTATTAGCATTATGCTTGTAGTTTCTTGTTTACCGGTTCCTATATTAACCTGTGTTTTTTGTGCTTCGATTATCGCACTATTTTGTTGTCATTACTGTTCTTTCCTCTATATGTTGTGCACTGTTCTCCATTTCATATTATTTCTTTTTTGTTACTACTCTCATTTCTGTATTCTCTTTTTCAAACTGTTTGGAAATGTTTTATTTTATTTATTTATTTTATTTTTTTGATGACCGAGAAATCCGTTTGTGACCCGCCCTTTGGACCAATCACAGCCTTTTAAACTCGGTGGATAATGGGCTCGCCCCTCTACCCTTCTCCACTTAAATACTGGGCTTCGCTTTGCGTGGTGTGGTGTGGGGCATGAACCTGCGACCTAAGCCACAAATCCGTCACCTTTTGCCACTCGAGCTAGGCCTTGGGGGCGGAAATGTTTTATTTTAAGCTGAGGGTCTATCGGAGACAGCCTCTCTATCTGTACGAGGTAGGGGCAAGGTCTGCGACTATGCTTACAGTCTACCCCCAACTCCTCCCCAGACCACATTTGTGGGATTACAAGGGTATGTTGTTGAAAAATATTCCTAATCACAGATTTAAGTCCTTTAATTATACTAGTTAGGTTAACAGTTCATCCAATGAACTATTAACTCAATCCATAGTTCGCGATATGCTTTTACATAATACTGTAACTCAGGCAGAATTATAACCCCATTTTATAAATCAGCAATTGATATGAAAGCTACTCTCCAAGATAATATCAGAGTAGTGACTCCATCAAAATGGAAGCAAAAAAAGAGAAGGGAGAAGATCTTTTTTTACAGGTGGCTATTGTAAGTACCTTTGCAGGACTCATTGATCTCCTCGCTGGCAATATTATTGTCACCAGTATTACTGCTAATCTTTGCAATATTATTGATCTCCTCGCTGGCAATATTATTGTCACCAGTATTACTGCTAATCTTTAATCCAGTATCACCAGCCAACTCCTTGAGTGTACCCCTATCTGCTGCCAGGGCAGGAGTTAACATAAAAGAAAAGAAGTGAGATTTTTAAGAAAATAAAAATAAGTGGGATACTGCTAGACATTTATACCATGAGAGTCTGATTGCAAGTCACCAGCAGAGGAAGTGTTCCTGAGATCTGCTTGGTTCTGCCCAACACAGTCAACTGATAAGCTCGTGTCAGAAGCTGCAACATTAATTGATATACCTGCTGCAGGCACATTTGTTTTTATAATATGGTTGGAAACCTCCTTTCCTGTCTCGGTAGAGTTACGTCCTTTAACTGAGGCCAAGGGCGAAGTCATGGTCATGTGGTCGGATGCCACTTCAAAACCTCCCCTAACCTTAGAATCTGAGGACAATTTAATTGCATTCCCTGATACGAGACAGAGAGCGTCCGACTTCTTAGATGGTGGATGATTATCTCTAACAATTTCTTTGATCCCAACACTTTGACGTCTATAAACTCCTCCACTTTTGCTTTTCCCTGTAACATCATAAAATACACTATTAGCAGCTCTGACTGGACTAAAAGATGATGGATTATCACTATCCTTACCCTTGATCACTTGAGTATCATCAATTAATTCTTTATTAATTACCCTAGGGTGTCCACCTTTAAGTTTTGCTTTCAGCTTCTTGCTGATTTCAGTGTGAGCATAAGGATTAAGAGACAAGTCAGCAGCTGCAACTTTCACAGGATCTATGTTAAATTGAGGATGTAAATCTAGCACCACATCTGAATAGAACCTCTTGACACTTGCACCAACAGTCTGCACTTGATTCTCAACATATCTAGCGGTATCCTGTGATATACCATGAGACCAGTTACGGTGGTTGAATACTTAATTGGCCAAAGTGGTGCAAGGTGAATAAAAAGGTACGACATATTGAAGTTATGAACATTTTCAAAGAAGCAATTGATTAGAAACGATTAATAAATTGATGAATAAACAACCATGAATGTCATATGTACTCCTTTTGATATATTAACATGATATGCACACAATCCTTCCAATGCAACATAATTACCTACTCAGGAGTTTGGATAGTGGCAAAAATAAAAATTGGAAAAATGAAATAAATGTTTTATTTTATTAAGAAGAGTGTAGTCCCCAAATAAAAGTCAGGACAGCAACAAGAGTACTACAAGAACTACTACTACTGCGACTCAATTCCAAGCTAGTTGGGTTCAGCTATATGGAGGATTAACCACGCCGTATTATTGATAAATATAGGAAGTCAACGCTTGCTAGGCAGAACTCAATGTACAAAGCTATCACCTTTCTGCGAAATTAGAATATAGGTTTTTTGCCATTTCTAGCAACTTGCTAATCATTGAGAGAAGTTGAAGTATCAAATATGTAAGTAAGGGGAATGAATGAGGGGCAAGTTTGGATAATTTTTCTCTAACCTTTCCTCCAAGTAAAATCAATGTCTTTTCTCTTGTAACAAAGAGATGCAAGCACCTATCATTGGGTACCAAAAGTTACTGGTGATTTATTAGGAACCTCAGAGAAAAATAAGCCCCATGGAACGGTCAATATAGCAACATCTGCAATTTATAGTCAGAGTTCAATCTCCTTTCTTTTGGGTTGATTGAATATGATCAAAGTTCAATTCATTCAAACGTTCCTAGTGCTCTAGGGTCAAACAACCAGTTGGTAAGAAAATAGCCCTACTGACTGCTGAGGGAAGCTCCACTATGACCTTGCTAACAAACCCGAAAACAGGGACGAACCAAATCAAATAGTAAGAGACATGTGGTTAATTTTACCTGGTACATAGCATCTTCCATCTCCAAACACATCGCTTCAAATTTCTGGTATATATCTCCAACCCATGCTATACCTTTCAAATCCATCGCATAACACTTCGACAACTTTCCAAGGGTTCAACGAATATAGTGCTGCAAGATGATATAGCTTTCAACTCCAGAATTTAACAAGATGCTTCCCTATTAGAACTTGTATGAGCTGCATAAATTACAAAATTCTGTTGAGCAGGATTATTCACCAACTTCAATCAATAAAAAGAATGCACGTCACCCCTATGTAAATCACCCCGCTAATGTATAATTAATGCCCCAACATAAACGAGATACAAATCAATATCATTCTCCATAACAAAGTTTACGCCTTGCACTCATAGATGATAGAGCAAACTTCTAGTATCAGCAAAATTAATTCCCGGTGTGAGCTTGCTCACATTGGCGGTCCTAAGCCCCGACACAGAAGGAACTCTAAGGTAGGTCAATAGCAAACGTAGAACTAATCAACTTATGGTGAATCCTCAAAATATAGAATATTGAGCTTAAATGGACAACGAGGATCCATATAGCCAGCCCTTACTTGCTTGGGTAGTTGTTCTATTTCTAGCAAATTACATTTACCATCTACTTGAATTTTAACAGTACAATAGAAATTCTTTCAACTAAAAACCTGAAACTAAATCAAATGCTTTAAATTAGCGTACAAATAGCACAAGCTCATCTATTTGTAACATTGTTTTATTCCTGTGGTGATGGAGACATGGTAAGCATTCTTATAGTAGGATGATCCGAACTACTACCAACTATATAGCCATTGAACCGATCAAACAGAAGTACACAAATAAGGTTGAAAGCTTCAACCATTAACAAAAAGAAGTCCTTTTGTAAGCTAACCAGATACCTCTCCCCGGTTTCCAATAATCAGAAACTTTCAGCATAGAAGACAAGGAAGGAACTTTTTATATAAGATCATGATGGCAGCAAAGTGCATCCTAGGGGTTCCTTAATTGAGTACCTTTCTAATGACTTCGCCGTACAAAACTCAAAACTTCTTAAAAGACTTGGATAGGTATAACTTTTTTGTAACATCTATTTCATGTATTTAGATGAACTTTTGGCCTATACATGGACAGGATGGAATATCTGCATCTATAAAGATTCCAAAGCCATTTTGGTCAGCTAAAGTCAAACAAAGGGTTTTAAGAGCTTCCTTATTACCCAAACTACAACTCATACCAAATTTCCAACAAAAGCATTCCAAAACCATGAAATAATTCATCAAAAAAACACTACAGAAAGCAAGCTACTTTACCTTAATACCTAAATCCCTATAATTTCACATACAGAAGATATCTCTATACATCCTATCAAAAATATAAAAGTATAAAACCCAACACCCAAGGGTGTAGCCTAGTGGTCAATGAAACGTTCAAATCCCAGCAAAAACACACAAGGTGCTTTATTCCCATATGTTTTAGCCTTGGTGGGATATCCAGTGGAATTAGTCTAGTCGAGGCACGCACAAGCTAACCCAAACACCACAATTATCAAACAAAAAGTATAAAACCCAAACACCAAAACTCTATGTACACAATAAACCCATAAATTATTCACAAAAAACAAGTAAAAATCATCAGCATCATGATCAAGAAGCAAACAGCAGCTATTTAGGGAAAAAAGATATCTTTTGCCCCAGGTAAACATTAAAAATCATAACCACCATGATCAAGAAGCAATACCCACAAAGGAAAAAACAACTACATATAATACATATACCTCAATCATACTACATAACTACCAATCAATTACAAGATTCAATCTTTTTAAGTTGAAGCAGAACAACTTACAGTACAAAAAAAGAATACCCAGAAGCAAAAATTGCAAGTCACGGGTAAATTTTTATCAGCAGAATTCAAAAAATTACAACTTTTACAAAAGCTAATTGCAAACAAAAAGCATAGCATAAAGTAAGATAAAGAGAAACGGAGAGTTTTGGTGAATTTTGTTTGAGTTGGAAAACGAAAAACGTAAAGAGAGAGTTCACCTGGTTTTTTGGGTATGTGGGTCTTCGACACGTGTCCAGAAAACTCTGCCTTGTTCATTCCTTCGTGTAATATATATTTGCAAGAAACGAAAGTAAACTATTTTCTATTTTAATGATGAAATATTATAAAACAAGAAAAAAATTTAATTAAGTTTGAGATTAGTTTTTGCTAATTAAGAAAAAAAGTAAAATTATTGTATTGCTCTTTAATAAAATTGAACATAGTCAATATCATTAGTAATTTTTCCTTTATTTCATATACTAACTAAATTTGAGATTTTTTATTGTTGAATGTTCAAAGTTCAAAATGAATGTTTGAATTTTTTTTATATTTGTCTTTTCATTTAGGGCATCTCCAATCCTACCCTCTATTTTACTCTCCAAATATAGAGTTTTCTAAAAAAAATAATCAGATATCCAACTCCAATACAATTATTTATTGTACTCTCTAAAAAATATTTTTTTTTCTTTCTCCTTAATATTATATTATTATTTCTATTTCGTTTTTATTTTCTTATTTCATAATATATATCATTTCTTTTTCTTTTTTCCCAAATAATCATTTTATATAATTTTCATGTGATATAATATTTTATTTTTCAAATTCTTTATTTAATATAAATTTACATTTTATTTTAATTTTTTTAATAACATAAATTGCAAGCAAGTATTCTATAATATACAAATTAATGGACAATTCAAATAAAAGAAACCATTAATTACATAAATAATCAACTTTCAAGATTATGACGTTGCTTTCATAAATGCTCTATTAATGCATTACGGAGTTAAAAATGAGCATTTTTGTCCTTAATTTTTTCATGTTTAGCTAAAAATTGTTCAAATCATAGATTTTCAAATTATATTAGTGATATAATTTTTTTTTAAAATACTATTAATTCAAGATGAAAATAGTATATATTAAATAATATATTTCTTAAAATATTATATTATATTTAAAAAGAATTACAAATATTAGATATTAATTTATATCATTATATGTAAAATAATATGTTCATTACAAAATAATAAAAATGTGAAATAGAGAGGTGAATAGTAGTTCTCCATGTCTCTATAAATAGAGAATAGAGATTAATATGGAGATGGGTTGGAATGTCCATTCTCGAATTTACTCTTCAAATATAGAAAATGGAGAGTAAAATAGAAGCAGGTTGATGATAGTCTTATTGAAGTTTTATATTTTCCAAGAGATAAATTACATTACTTATTATATTTATGATTTCACATAGGATAACAGTGGAAAATATAGTTTAAATTATGTTCTTCAATGTTTTTCTTAATATTCATGGCATTGCCCTTACATATTCAGTTAATATGAAATAGAAAGAGTATAAAACGAGTATATCATCATAATCATATTCGAAGAATATTTCATCACTCCTCCGATATTCTTACAAAAAACAATATAGATATATAATCGTGAGTCTTTTTTTCTTTAAATACTATGCTACTATTGGCACCCCAAATTAAAAATCCGAAATAGCTAGGGACAGGAAAAGTTCTTTTTTTTAGGGTACTTCCGAGTCCCGAGAATAGATTCAGTGGAGACGGGGTGGGGCTTGTAGCTCAGAATAGTGTTGGTGTGTCTCGTTGCAATCATCCGATCAATTCCTTTCATGAACCATTATAAATTTATGGTCAATTTTTATATTTAATAAATATAAATTATGATAAAAAAATTTTTTTAATCAAAATAAGTTTTTCACTGAATTTAAAATTTATCTCAAAATAAAAAATATTATATATTCAAATACTAATTGCATCACATAATTTTAAATCACGAGATAAAATCGTAAACGACCCCTAAAACCTGAGGGGCATTAGAATCACAGTTTCATGTCGCCCCTTCTCAATTCGGATATGCTACATATCGTTACCCTAGCAACACTAATCGAAACATAAAAACGTGACCCCTCATTTCCACTTTCTCTCTCTACACTTTTTACAGTCATCGGCGGCACCTCAACAGAGCAACAATGGCGACACCGGCGGCTACTTCTTTCTCCATTTCCTCCTCCTCCTCGGCCGTTTCTTCCTCAACCAAATCCCTAAAGCCTGCTCTATCTAGTAACTTAGGCTTCTTTTCTACTTCATCTCCGTCGCTTAAGGTTCTCAGAGCTAAATCTCACTCCTACAATGTCTCTAGCTCCGGCGGAGCACTTAATGTTCGTATGGTTGCTGCTCCTGCTGCTGTAAAGGCACCGATGTCTCTCGATTTTGAAACGTCTGTTTTTAAGAAGGAGAAAGTTACCCTTTCTGGACACGACGAGGTGAATCTCTTCCCTTCTCCACGTCTATTTCACCTATTACCTCTGTTTTAGAAAGAATGATGTAGTTAGGATATGGTGACATCTAATTTTCGGTGTAAGATTAGATGTAATATTTAGATACTTGAAAACTGGTGAAGTATGACAGTTTTTCTAGTTTCATACTTGATAACTATTAGTTATGCAAATTTCCTATCAGAACTATCACAAACTAAAAATCTAAACACACCTCAACTATCAATTAATTGTTCCATTTTCTAAGCTAAAATATCAACATAGGAAAAAGGAATAAATGATAATTGAGGGGTGTTTTGATAAATAATTGGTAGGAAACTTGCATGCCTAATAGTTCAGGCATGAAATTTGGAAAATCGAAATACTTTAGGTGTGTTTTTGATTCTTCACTCTTTCTTTTTATATTTAACTTAAGAAAGAGTGTAATTTGTTTTCCATTTGATTTTGAGTAGCTGGACATCTATTTCTAAATGTAGATCATTTCTTATTGTTTTGTGGAATAATATGTAAGAAGGTTTGAACAAATTGTACTTTTCTCAAAAACCTTTTAGAATAAGGAAAAATTTGTACAAAAAGGAAATGTGTTTTTTGGATAGTCAGAGATAATCATTAAAAAGATTTCTGAGTTTTTAGTGTAAAGTCACTTTTTCAAAAAGATACTGTGGTTTTTTTCTCGAAAAAGAATTTAGCAAAAACTTCAAACAAACACCTTTAACCATTAGATATTTAGAAAACTCAGTAGAAGTACCATAAAACACAATTTTGGACAGAGAGTAATGGTATTGTCTTTCTTGTTTGGTGTATCAATGCTGAGAATGTTTATTTCTATATGTGAAAGTTCTTGGCTTTGATGTGTAATGTATATTGTTGGGATTGTGGTGTAGTACATTGTGAAAGGAGGGAGAGATTTGTTCAAGTTGTTGCCGGATGCATTCAAGGGAATCAAGCAGATTGGAGTCATTGGCTGGGGTTCTCAGGTGAAGTTTCTTTGGTTTTGATTTTATTCAGTTAATTCAATTTTGATATCTGTATAATGGTCCA